GAGGATGCGGTGGCCGGGAGCGGCCACCGCACTCCAGTCTGGGCGACAGAGGGAGACTCCAACTCAAAAAAAAAAATTTAACAAAAGAAATGCAGACTCTCAGGCCATCACCGGTCAGCTGGTTCTGAATCCTCATTTAACAAGGTCCAGGTGATTTACATGCACAGTAGAGTTTGAGGAACATGTTTAAGTCCCTCATGGGGGAGGCAGGGGAAGACAGCAGGAAACAGACTTATTAGACTCTTCCTGTTGCCAGTCCAGAAAAGTTGGTTGCTATCTAAACAGGCCTTGGGGTGAACGGGAGGAGGCAGTGAGCTGCCAACAGCTATTTCTGTGTTCCAGGGTTTTTAAAAAACAGCCAGAAAAGTTAACATTTTATTTTTCTATAGTGGTCCATTGGCCACTGTGACGAGCTATTATTTTTCATCTTTTCGTGTTCCACAAAATTGGAGATTTTTGCCTAAACACTGTTCTGAATGACTTTACTTTGTAAATATGTTTTTCCTCTTAGTGATGCCTTTTTCAGCACTTTGCTTCATTAGATCTTTAAAAGCTGGATCAGAAATCCTATTTGCAGCTCTGTTTCAAAAATAGCTTTTCTTTGATCAGAATATTGTCATTTAGCCTTGTTTCCTTACAGTTGGAATGTTAAAGAGATTCACCAGGCTGCTGACTATCTCAAAGTGGAAGAGGTGGTCACTAAATGTAAAATAAAGATGGAAGATTTTGCTTTTATTGCTAACCCCTCTTCTACAGAGATATCTAGTATTACTGGAAACATTGAATTGAATCAACAGACTTGTCTTCTTACTCTCCGAGATTATAATAGTCGGGAGAAATCAGAAGTATCTACAGATTTTGTTCAGGCAAATCCCAAACAAGGGACTCTAGCAAGGAAGTCTCAAACTAAAAAGAAGAGGAAGCCTTTCAATTCCCAGAAAACTGGGCAGAATAAAACAGTGCAATATCCCAGTGACATTTTAGAGAACGCATCTGTCGAATTATTCCTGGATGCGAGCAAGTTGTCTACACCTGTAACAGAACAAGGTGTCCAAAGAAATGACCATTCAGAACTCGAGTTGACCTCGGTTGTGGAAAACACTTTTCCGGAGCAAGATATCGTACAAACCGTTACAGTGAAACGGAAGCGTGGAAAATCACAGCCAAACTGTGCTCTGAAGGAACACTCTATGTCGAACATAGCCAGTGTCAAGAGTCCGTATGAGCTGGAGAACTCTGGGGAAGAGATGGATCAGAGGTATCCCAAGGCCAAGCCAATGTGCAACACGTGTGGGAAAGTGTTTTCAGAAGCCAGCAGCCTGAGAAGGCACATGAGAATACACAAGGGAGTCAAACCTTACGTCTGTCACTTGTGTGGAAAGGCATTTACCCAGTGCAACCAGCTGAAAACACATGTAAGAACTCATACAGGTAAGCCTGGTGTGTGGGAGACGCTATTTTTACCTTATGAATAAAATAATGCTTTTTGTAGAGAACATATTAGCACACATTATTTGTGACCAAAATTGGTATATTCTCTTCATAAAGTATTTAGCAATGTTAGACTGTTAGAAAATTTATTCATAATTGTAACCAAATATTTAATGGCTACTTATAACTGATATTTTAAGTCCTAATGCATCAAGTCCTTTTACCATTTTCCCTCAAAATAAGCATCAGCTTGATTCTAGTTTGCCAAGTATTTAATGGAGACAAAGATGTCAGAACTGATAAAGAGAAAATGTAATTACAACTCAGGCCAGTTTTCAAATATTGCCAAAACACATGACACGCTCCCTGGCTTTTATTGGCTTCTGAACGTGTTTATTAGAATCACGCATCATTCTTTCCTCGGCTTCTGCATTCACTCTATTTCGCAGGTCTGGTGGCAAAGTATGAACACCCGCCGGCACACCTAGGGTTTCCCTTTTTAAGATACAGTCTATATTCCTCACTGATCATCTTTCACTGTGATCAACTGAGAAACACTAATGTGTTTAATTCCACTGGTGTTTTTGGTAGCCTGGAAAGAGATCCTGTGTGCTTTTCAGTCTTCTAGCAGTTAACATTTTCTGTATGCCGGAACTAGTACTGTTGATGATCTCTTGGAAAGCTTATATGATATGAGCAAATAGAACAATATTTTCTTCTAGATGTAAATCTTATTGACTTGTTCCTTTAGGTGAGAAGCCATACAAATGTGAATTGTGTGAGAAAGGATTTGCTCAGAAATGCCAGCTAGTCTTCCATAGTCGCATGCATCACGGTGAGGAAAAACCCTATAAATGTGATGTGTGCAATTTACAGTTTGCAACTTCTAGCAATCTGAAGATTCATGCAAGGTAAAAATCCAGAAAACCGAGTTGTTTGATCTTTCAGTCTGTCAATCACCATGATCGTATAAATAGGCTACTGTACTACAGGCCGGACAGCAGAGTTCTGATTGTGGTTCCACCATGTGGTTGGCTCCAGGGAGCCACAGGGAAGCCATGGCGGCTGGAGGGGAATTCGCAAGCGAAGAAAACTCCTGGGAAATAGGATCAGGCTTGTCTAGAAGTAGGGGCAGCATAGTCCCAGACACATTTAAGAGGATCACCCTGACTGCTGTCATACAGAAAGACTGTAGGGTGGCAAGAGTGGAAGCAGGGTGAGCAGTTAGGAATCTATAGGAAAAAACCCTGTGAGAGTGGTGATGGGTCGGGCCAAGGCACTGCAGTGAAGGAGAATCGTTAGATTCTGGATATATTTTAAGGTGCCACTAACAGAATCTGCATACAGAGTGTGTGTGAGATCTGAAAGAAAAAAGAGTCAAAGATAATTCTGTGGTTTTAGGCCTGAGCACCTGAAATGATGGAGTTGCCATTAACTGAGCTGGAGAAGGTGGGTGGGTTGAGAAGTTCGGGTAGGAGTGCAGGAATCTAGCAGACAGTGCTGAGTTGTTAAATTTAAGACTGACCGTTACACTGCTGAATAGAGCTGGGCAGTAAGGCATTGGTTATCTAAGTCTGGAGTTCAAGGGACTGATTTGTGCTAGAATTGTAAGTTTGGCAGTCGTCAGCATATGAACGATTTTAAAGCTATAGCACTGGATAAGGTCACCAAGAGAGTGTGAACAGAAGAGATCAAAAGACTGAGTCTTGAGACACTGCAACTCGACGAACTCTGGGAAAGGGACAAAACCAGCAGAGGTGCTTAGGGAGGAAAGCGGGCTGCCCTGGGGTCCAAGAGAGGAAGTTATCCCGGGTAGGAGTGGCCAGCTGTGTGAAATTCTGTGACAGGGAGATGAAGACAGTGAGGTTTGGGTACAGGAGCAGGGAAAAGGAGGAGAAAGTGAGGTCGAGGTCTTCTCGTATGGGGGACATGGCGTGTGTGTATGTTGTGATCCAGCAGGGTGAGAAGAAAGGATGGTGTAGGATGGGAAAATTGCAGGAGTGACATGACCCAAGCAGATACATGAGAGTTGCTGAGTCCAGATGAGCTGCCGCCCTCATGTCCTAAACACTTTTCCCAGTGAAAAAGGGAGCTGGAATGTAGTCGAGAGAGGGGTGCGGAGGTGCTGGTAGCTTGAGGAAAGAGTTTTGACGAGTGCAGGATTGAGGCCCACTAACAACCACATAGAGACCATGGCAAGACTTTTTTTAACTGATCTTAAGAACTAATGTTTAGATAATAACAAAAACACCTATTTTTGGCAGTGTTTACATTGAGTCAGCTGTTTTTAAATATATAGTCTTGGCCTATTAAAATGACATGAAATAAAGTGCTGCATGAAAAATTACATTAAAAATGCGTGCTCTATAGATTGACCTTCAGATGTTTTTTTTTTTTTAACCTACCTAACTTTATTTACTGACTAACAGAAAGCATAGTGGAGAGAAGCCATATGTCTGTGACAGGTGTGGACAGAGGTTTGCCCAAGCCAGCACACTGACCTATCACGTCCGCAGGCACACTGGAGAGAAGCCGTATGTGTGTGACACCTGTGGGAAGGCATTTGCTGTCTCCAGTTCCCTCATCACTCATTCTCGAAAGCACACAGGTAAGAGTTTGACAGGGAGAAACTGAATTTTATAGGAAGGAAAGTTATCAATACAAGAAAAAGGGAAATTGGCCCTTTACAGAAAGTAGATTATGAACTTTGTAGTTAGATATCTGTACTTCTCAAAGCTCTGTTTATGATTTTCTCACATATAATAGATATGAAAGCTGACTTATTTTCTAGAATAATACAAGGTGGGTAAAATTTTTTTTATCACTTATACTTTAAAATCAGTGAGATAATCTTGATAATAGCTTCTCAAAGGATCATGTCCTTTGGACAAAATTGGCGTGAAGTTAAGGGGTGGAGGGTACGTTTGGGCGAAACGTTGATTTTTTGGGAACTTCTTGGGGCCTTTCCTACACAGACATACTGAGGTTTGCAGATAAACAGATACTTGAGGTACAGAGTACATTTAGAAAAACGTAAAGTACATTTTAAATAAGAATATTCCCTGAATGCTCTTATTCTCCTCTAATAATATGGTAGATAGCGAGACTAGAAATATGGATTGATGAATTTACGTGTTCTTAATTATATAAAAATCAAACTCCTTGCCCATATCAGCTCTACTAGAAGGGACATTTACAGGACTGATGTTTTTAATATATGAAAAATATCAAATTACAAGAACAGTGTAAAAAAGTTACTGATATTTAAGTTGGATCGCTGAAAATACCTCTAAAATACAAGAGAGGTTTTAGCTTAAATAATATTTTAGAACAGCTTACTTTAGATTATTTGTAATTGATAAATATTATATTGGTATAGTACACCACTTCGCTATCTTTTATTTTCCATCTAGGTGAAAAACCATACATATGTGGTATTTGTGGGAAAAGTTTTATTTCCTCAGGAGAGCTCAACAAACACTTTCGATCCCATACAGGTCTGTGTTTAGGGAGAACGTACTATTTTTTGTTCTCTCTTAATTTCTTTTTATGTAAACCTTGACTTTTAACCATTATGGACTAAATGGTATCTAGTCATACTCTATTTATAGAAATATTTTAATGTATAGATATCAACTTCTTATCTGCTAATTTTACTTTTTTTGGTTGTTTGGCGTGTAAATTAAATTTGGTAATGAATTGTGTTGATTTTCTAAGAAATATGCCAGATAGTGAATAGTTTTTAAATGATTTTGATTAAATTGCACGGCTGTACAAGAAATGAAAAGGAATAGGTAATACCAAGATAACATCAGATTTTCTTATTAAACAATGTTTAGTATATAAGTTCTAGGAATAAGTTTTAAGATTGACATGCTTACTATAAAAAGTAGTACGTAAGTGGTATGAAGAAAATGTTGGATGTAAAATATTTTAAAACAAAGGATAATGCCACTTTGAAAGTAAACTGCTCTTTTTGTTTTTAAAAATTTCTCCTTCTAATTGCTACCTAGAATAGTATGAGTAATGCCAAAATAGAGATTTTAATTTGTTTGCAACTTTTATGGTCTCATGCTCCTTAATTTACACTGTGAAGCACAGAACGGTTATTTTTCCAAAATAATTATATTGTAGCATATTTTCCATATTTTTAAGGATTTTCTTATTTGTAAGTTACCTGAGGGCAGAAATTATAATTATACTTTCCTCCTCCAGCCATATATCTTAGCCAGGGTCTGGCATATGACTGACACTCATTAAATACCAGATAGAAATACAAGAGTGGGTTATTTTTTGTTTGCAGACAAATTTCTGTTAATCAAATTGCTCAATTTTCCCTGAGATAGGGATGCTTTGTGTGAATTAAAGGCGTGCCTCTTTGTATAGACTCTTTCATTTCAGTATATTATTACCAAGTGATTAACATGGTAACTTGAAACCAAATTTAAACAGTATAATAATTTTTGCTTTGTGTTCATAAACACTGATATTTTTGTCTTAGATAGCAGCTTTGAAAGTATTGAAGTTTTAAATTTTTTAACTTGTTTTTCAGGAGAAAGACCATTTATCTGTGAATTATGTGGAAATTCTTACACAGATATTAAAAATTTAAAGAAGCACAAAACAAAAGTCCATTCTGGTAAATATTTGTATTTTTTTTTTTAATTTGGTGTTCTCGTGTTGGTGCTATTCCTTAAAATGCTGAGTTGAAGTGTACATTTAAGCCATTTAAATTAGATGTCTATTTTAAAAACAAGATATATACATATGAGGAAACTAGCTTTCTACTTTGCAGAAAAGTTCACCCTGGATTTTTTTTTCATACTGACCTTCTAATAAAAAAATGCAGCCGGGCTCGGTGGCTCAGCCTGTAATCCTGTGCTTTGGGAGGCTGAGGTGAGTGAATTGCCTGAGCTCGCGGGTTCGAGACCCGCCTGGGCAACTTGGGAGACCTCATCTCTACAATAAATCAAAAAAACTAGCTATCTGTTTTAAAAACAAGATATATACATATGAGGAAACTAGCTTTCTACTTTGCAGAAAAGTTTACCCTGGATTTTTTTTTCATATTGACCTTCTAATAAAAAATGCAGCTGGGCTTGGTGGCTCAGCTTGTAATCCCATGCTTTGGGAGGCTGAGGTGAGTGGATTGCCTGAACCCGCGGATTCGAGACCTGCCTGGGCAACTTGGGAGACTTCATCTCTACAATAAATCAAAAAAACTAGCCGAGCGTGGTAGCGCGTGCCTGTAGTTCCAGCTACTTGGAAGGCTGAGGCGGAAGGATCGCTGGAGCCCAGCAGGTCGAGGCTGCGGGGGTCGGGGGTGGCCACTGCACTCCAGTCCAGTTTGGGTGACAGAGTGAGATGCCAACTCAAAAAAAAAACAAAAAAACCAAACAGAAAAAGTGCTTATAGTGCTCTGTCCTTTAAAACCTGACTTCTGAAAAATGTCATGAGTGAAGTAATACAGAAGCAAACTAAGAATCACCCTTCCGCGTTCTGGAGTCTGGGGAACCTGGCTGTCCTGCGGTCATGATGAAAAGGGGTGTGAGAGGACTGAGGGAAGCCGAGGGACCTACAATGCCATAATATTAAACATGGAGAGGCAGACCACACATTTTAAGTCTCTTGCTTGAAATGAGTCCTTGAAAAGTTTCACTGCGCTTGCTACCATTTTATTCTGTCATGATTATGGTAAGTCTCTTACAATAAACATAAACCTCACAAGGATTAAGTTAGAGACATCTGAAAACTGAAGTGAGATCAACTCAGTAGCCATTTGAGTTCCTTTGAAGGACACATAACTGGTCAGGCACAACAGCTCACACCTACAGTCCCAGCATTTTGAGACCTGAGGAGGGAGGGTTGCTTAAGGCCAGGAATTGAAGACCAGCCTGTATAGCAAGACCCATCTCCACAAGCACACGTAACCACGGGAAAGAGGAAGTTGGACAAGGCATAGCCTGAGGACCAAGGGGTCCTCAGAGAGCTTACAGCCTGGTATGGGAGACCAGAAATCTAAATCAGTATTTCAAGAGAAAATGTAGGGCATAATAGACACAAAAGTGCAGAAGAAAATGTGCCGTTTTTCCTGGGTGAGTTCTATCAAAGGCTTCATTTTGGGGAATTTGAAGGGTAGACACACATTCAGTGATGGAGATGAGAAAGGGCAGGTCCACTCCAGGCAGAGAACGTTGTAAAGCATCGCTGGCACAAGAAAGCGCAGGCTGTATTGGCTTGTTAAACTGAAGAGTAGTCTGGGAGGAATACAGAAAATTTTAATTTATGAAAGCAAGTATGTAGCTTTGTCTACTTAGCAGAGATGGTAAAACAAATCATGTCAGCACTTCAGAGTAACAGGAGCATGTGTAGAGCTAGTGGAAAGTTTGAAAGCAATTTAGTGTGATGCTTCCTTGAGTGGAGCAGAATTTCTCACCTCTGCAAATAAAGGAATGTGCCAAACTTCTAAACTTGACTCCAGAATAACACGAACTACTCATTAAAAACTTTCAACGAACATATAAAATATATCGTATGGGTACATCACTGTTCAGGACTTGGCGGGACTCAGAGAAGTATAACTTGACATTTACCCCTGAGGAGGAGACAGTCTAGTTTAGGGTTTGAGACGTACCTGAGCATCACGTTAAATAGCAGTAGGAGAGAGATGCCACAAGGCAGGGCGTGAGCATTGACGCGTGGGATAAAGCAAAAAAACACGGCTCACCCTTTTTACGTTCCTGAAGAGGGGTTGAGTCCATTTTTTATGACAGAGTTGGTGCTTGAACATGGCCTTGAGGCCCAGAATGAATTGGTGCAGATAATGAGGAGGGCCGTGAGAGAGGAAAGAGAAGCAGCTGAGGAAAGGTGTGGAGGTTGGGGTGGGTGGGGTATGTAGATCTGTCTGCCTCAGGGGTTTTACTTTGTTCAGAAAGACAGTGTGAAATTTCTTCCCTTTCCATTTTAGGTGCAGATAAAACTCTAGATTCCAGTGTAGAAGACCATACTTTAGGTGAACAGGATTCCATACACAGAAGTCCTTTACCAGAAACTCTGGACGTAAAGCCTTCCGATATGACTTTGCCACTCTCTCTTCCACTTGGGACCGAGGACCACCACATGCTCCTGCCTGTCACGGAGAATCAGTCTCCCACCTCGGATACACTGTTGCGGTCAGCTGTGAATGGGTATTCAGAACCACAGTTGATTTTTTTACAACAGTTATACTGACTTTGTGAGAAATATGGAATTGCTGAGACATCTTTGGTCGGAAGCATAAACATCTGTGGTAAAGTGCATATATTTGTATTAAATTCCCATTCGTCTGACTTGTGGCCACAATTCTTCATCCCTGAAGTAAAAGCCCTGATGCCCCATCATAGCTGCGATGCTTGTTTTGATTTTTGGCTCTGTGTCTGTACTGTACACACAGCCTTTTAAAGACTGAATTATACTAGGTAGCACTGTTTGGGGTAGATAAGTTTTATTTTCTTTTAAAGCTGCCTTAATTTCATTCTTATTTTGCATTTTGGAATCGCCCTTCATTTACTGAAGTAGAATCTGTCAGTTTATGTGATTCAGTCTTGACCTGTGGGATAGGAAAATTTTCTTCCCTCAGAATGTAAACAAAATTCATTATTGTATCAACCCAAGAGTGTGTGCTGTTTGTAAGCCCCACAGACCAATACATATACTATGGAAAGTAAAATGTTGTATTTCTGCCTATGAAAATGTAGGTACTAAATGAGAATTACACTATTTCTCTATTAATATATTCCACTAGAGGTAACTTTTCTAATGAAAGAAAAAAGTTTCTCTTAAAAGCTAAAAAGCTGTGTATACATTTTTGTTCATTCAGAATGATTCTGGAGAAAAGCAATGGTTAGTACTTTTGGTTTGAGTTATTTGAGACTTTTAAAAATAAATTTTAAATAGACATTTGGTATTTTTGTCTTATCAAAGACAGTTTTAGAATTTGATTCAGTTTATGTTTTATTAGATTTCTAGATTATTGGAGATTAGGAAAATATACCGAGTTTTGAAAAATTTTGATAAGCCTCTCTTACACCTATTATGCACTTTTTAAAATAAATGTTAAATTCCAAAAATAATTTTTTAGATATAAACTTAATGCATACTAGAAATCACTTGACTTCTAAGTTTGATACATTATATTGTATAAAGAGTTAAGAAATTAACTTCAATTATTAGTAAACATTTTGGGTTAGCAGAGAGCCAGTTTATTAAATATTTTATATTTGAGTTTTCTAAAAACTTTGAGTTTCTTGATTTTATAAATTAAACCACAATTTGGTTGTTGTCGTTTCACAATGAACCTTTTCCTTCCAAATGAATGTAGAAAATTCAGCAATATCCTATATTTGCTACCACTTTTCCTACAAATTAATTTATTTCGTTGCCCGGTCTTTGGACGTGAAATTATCATGTCATAAAGTAAATTCCTATAGCACTGATCAAGCCTCGTGGTGACATTATTTCTTGTTTCTGCCATGTGTTAGTTGTGGCTTATTTGTTTTCTGGTTTGAATCTACATGTGTAATAAAGTTCATTTCTTTTATTGGTATTGATTTCTTTCATTGTAACTTTCTCTATTTGGGGTCCAAGTCATAGGAACCAGTTAACAGACATAAAAAAAACACTTAATGCATGTAGACTGTAGCAATCTTCATTTTACCGAACACATAGTATTTTCATAATAAATTGCCTTCAGTGGGACTGACTTGATAGTTTGAAATACCACCTTTATATAGTACACACTTAATATCTGATTATGTAAGAAATCCAAAAATGCATGTGTGCTCAGTTAAAACACTGGGTTTAAATAAAATTTGTAGTTATTGAATGTTCAGCTAATCTATCCTGGAATAGGAATGTATTGGAATGTGAGGAAATTTTTAAAAATTAGAAGACTCAGCCTCTTTAGGAGGTTGGCTAAAATGGAGAGCTTTTGTTTAATTGGCGTCTTCATTAATCTCAGCATCTCACGAACGAGATGTCTTTTTAAAAACTGCTGCAGTGATGTCATTCTATGGGGGCAATAGTTGTCAGATTTTCTCTGATGTAATTAACATTCTGCCTTTGCGTAGATGAGCCTTCGTGTTTGTTATTTTTAGTGTCGCTTGATAGGGTTGGAGTGGCTTTGGTTGACGGGCTGTGCCTTTGTCACATTTCTGCTTCTTGAATTGTCAGGGCTTGAGTTGCCGTTGTCATCACCTCGTCCAGAATGGCATGCAGAGAAAGCTGCAAGGCCAAGTGTCCCTTCCTTGTCATTGTTCTCGTAATGCTGTGCTGTGACTGTTACCACAATTCGTGTGTATTTAGTCATGTCTGGTGTGGGTTTGACACTCGTAATGATCATTGTCGTTAAGTCTTTAACTCTATTTGTTGCTGCAGTGTTTTGGGAAAGGCCTCTTATTCATTATTTAAGTGTTACAAAGTTTCTGAAAGTCTTTAGAATGCTGAAAACCTTACTGAAACTAATTATTTTCTAAAGGAGTTTAATTTTGTTTTATATGTGTTTCAGATTATTCCCGCAGTATCGTTAGATTTTAGACTGTTTTAAAGAAAACTGTAGATTGTATTTTTTTGCTTTTTTAAAATGATATTTGTTTTTTGTTTAATTTCACAGGATGACTTTGATAGACGATTTTTTTTTTTTTTTAGTCAGAGTCTCAACTCTGTCACCCAGACTGGAGTGCAGTGGCACACTCACAGCCACCGCAGCCTCAACCTGCTGGGCTCAGACAGTCCCGCCTCAGCCTTCCAAGTACCTGGAACCACAGGCGCACACTACCGCACCCTAATTTTTTGATTTGTTGTAGAGATGAGGTCTTGCCAAGTTGCCCGGGCTGATCGCAAACCCCTGGGCTCAGGCAGTCCTCTCGCCACCTCCTCCCAAAGTGCAGGGAAGACAGCGTGAGCCACTGCTCCTGGTGATGGACAAAAGTTAGAAAACCTTTTTTCAAAGTCAAAATTTCTGTCAGTTGCACTACAGCAGCAGGTTATCTTTTCTGTTTCAATTCTGCAGTAGTCAAGCCGATGAGTAGTTGAAGTACACAGCGTACGTGTACTAATGTTTAAAAGCATCCTAGACGAATCGTTTTGACATTGAATGCATATGAGAAACATGTCTGATGAAAAGCAGTGTCCCAGCCTCCCACCCCCGCCTTAGACCTCTGAACCAGACTCTCCCCAGGGCATACATCTGCTGGAGAAGACCCTCAGGCGATCATCACGTGTACCAAACACAGAACTCCTATCCTGAACATCTCTCGCTGTTCTGTCTCCTCGAAGCAGTGGGACAAATGAAGCTCCTGAGTATGACTTTCCATCCTATTCTTTTTTGGGGTTGGAGTCTCACTCTGTCACCCAGGCTGGAGGGCTGTGGCCGCTCCCGGCCACCGCAGCCTCGACCTGCTGGGCTCCGGCCATCCTTCCGCCTCAGCCTTCCGAGTAGCTGGAACTACAGGCGCGCGCTACCACGCCCGGCTGATTTTTTTGATTTATTGTGGAGATGAGGTCTTGCCAAGTTGCCCAGGCGGATCTCAAACCCGCGGGCTCAGGCAGTCCACTCACCTCAGCCTCCCAAGGCGCGGGACGACAGGCTGAGCCACCGAGCCCGGCTGACTTTCCATCTTTGACCCTGGGGTTTTGAGTGTCTCGAACTTGGCTGGAGATACCACCAAGTAAAAGTGTTTGAATTTCACATCTGTACTCATCTATGAGCAACATTGCGACTTAGTTATGGGAGCATTTGTTTCCTGAGAGGGTGATGAAACAGTCTGCACTCCCATCCTCTGCCGTCCCTGCCTCCATTTTTCAGAGAGGTTTGGTGGGCTGAGCTTGGCTCACCGTGGATTCTCAAGTCGAGCGCTGTACGCGGGTGCCTCTGCACCCGCGTGAAGCCAAGAAATCGCCCGTCGAGACCACCTGTGTTTGTTTAAGGAATTAGATCGTTACAGTGGAAATGTAGTGACCTCTCAGAAACAGGGTCTTGAATTTCAAGGAGAATTTACCAAAATAAACACCGAAGTCAGAGTACATAAAGCTGCAAAGGGAGATCAGATGAACGCCACCCCTAAGTTGACAGTCAAATGGGCAGGCCACGCCTCAGTATCACGAGCACGGAAGCAAGCCGGAAGGTTGCGTGTCCCCTTGGGGAAAGAAGGAGCTGCCATGCAGTCCGCGGGAGTTGAGTACACAGAGAAAGGGCCATGGCTCTCCTGCACAGGCAAGCCGGAGGAGACGGCTGCGGATGGAGCTTTGCAGCACCGGGGGCACTTCAGCGTAGAGGAGATGGGAGTCAGAGACGGCCAGCACCACACCTGTGCTGTCCCTCCGAGCAGGGCACTCCGCCCGCACTCTGCTGAAGGAGTGGGATTAGACAACCAGGTTTATAGCCCAGGTGTCCACTGGACATCTTCCCAGAGGAAACAACTCATAGGCCAGGCCAGGCCGGTCAGATTCTTTCTCAAGGACCTGAGCTATGAAATTCAGAGACAGTCAGGTCCTCACAGACCCATCCACGAAAAGGCCATTCAGAAGTGGCCCAGAGATCCACGAGGCAAGCTAGCGTCTAACAGAGGTCATGAATTCGCAGGGAAAGCTGATGACGGTGCAAAGCTAGGGAGTGAGATAGGCTTGCAGAGCCGAGAGACTGCCCGAGGCGGTGGGAGGAGGGGCTGTGATTTCTGGCTTTGTTGTCCTGCCTTTGAGGGGACACAGCCGTGCTTTATCTCCTGCCTCTGGATGCCAGGGTTCTGACTGCGTGTCCTTACACGAAAGCCCCTTTTTCTTAAGCAGGCCTGAGTTTGTTTCTGTTTCTTACAATCGGGCAGCCCCAAGTGAGACTCCGAGGCTTGGTGGTGATGCTGCTGGCTACGGACGCCGCTGGCTGTGGCTGAAGAGAGACCAGAAAGAGGTGGAGAGGGACGTTCGATGTGCTGAATGTGATTGGTGGGAGATGCATGAGACGCCTGGAGGCAGTTGGGAATGGGGCCTGGAGCCCAGGAGAGGCAAGGCTGGAGAGACAGATCTTGCAACGAATTCACAGAAAATTACAGCAGCCTGGGGAGGTGCTACAGGAGGATAAAAGGTGAGGCCCAAGTCCTGGGGGAAATGCATTTAAAGGATGAGGAGAGACAGAAAAGGAAGAAAACCAGGGTGGCACAGATTTCTCAAAGGCTAAAGCAGCTTTGTAGTGGTCACGTGGAACAGAAATGGGACACAAACCAAAGACAACCTTGGGTTGGGCAGTGGGAGCGTGATGGTCCATTGGAAGGCAGATGCAGTGTCAGTGGGAGTGGGAGATATTCAGGTGCCATCGTGAGTGAATGCTGCGGTACAAGACTTTGAAAAGGGTAGCGTGTGCAACATACACGATCACTGCCTTATCAGACAAACAGCGTACATACCACTCTTTTTTGCGTTCAAGTATGAAACATTGTAAAACGAGCAGAATGTGACCTGCAACTGGCATGAGGCAGTGTTTAAGCCGGGTCTTAAGGGCTGATCACTAAGAGGAAAATAAAAGGAAACAACACATGTGATGTGGTTGCAGATCCATGATTATCGTGCAGAGGAAACGGAGTTCTCCTACAGAACTTACATGCTTGTTCCCTTGAGCCCGTAGCCCGTGATAGGCCTGGAAAACATTAACTTTTTAGTCCTGGTCAGTTTCAAACCTAGTCTGATATAAGGGGGATATAATTTATAATATCTTAAGGTATCATCAGGTGATGTCTAATCTTTTGGGAAAGCGCTGTCTTATTTCTGCCCTTGGTTTTCTCTCTCAAATGGTGTCCAGATACATAGAGGAAGGGCACCAAGTAGACAGGGTCTGGGCATCCCGCTGCCTCGGCCGCAGTGCCAGCAGCTTACAGAGTTGTGTCTTCGGGCCTGGGTCCTTGGCTGGATGGGCTCTGCCTCAGTCTCTGGATGGGAGAACCCTCAGAGGCTTGGCCCCGCAGCCTGCAGGTCCAGCTGCAAGGCTGCACATGCAACCCCACGGCAGGCCCAGGAGAGCCTGCTCGCTCCCCTTCGGCCGTCTTCTGAATCTCCTGAGTCTCCCTTGGAAGAATGTGGGGACCTGGAGCTCCCTTCCGTGGCACCCAGGACTAGAGCGTAGCCTGGGAAAGCCGATCGTGCTGCAGAGGCTCACCTCCACGTGGCTGTGTCTTGGCCCGAAGGGCTGTCTCTCCACAACCCAGAGGGCTCCTCCACTACCCTGCATGGGATGGAATCCTTCAAAGCAGTAAGAAACAAATGGACTACCTCCTTCAACAGCATGTATGAGTCACACTACTAGGAGGCTGAGTCAAAGAAGCCAGACACAAGAAGAGTACGTACCGGGTGATCCATCTGTATAAAGTTCGGAGACAGGCAACTCCTCTGTGGTGTGGGCTTGTCCAGAAAAGGGAGTGGCAGAGTGGGGCCACTGGCGTGTTTGGAGAGGTGTGCATTTTCCTATCTATTGGCAGTGCTTGTGAAAGCGTTTCTAGCACCTATCCGAAAGGCCTAAGTGGGATGTGTGGAATAATTTTTCACCTTCTGTACTTTGAAACCCTTGAAATTCACTTGGTACCAGAAACCTTTTTACGACTTCATCACACTTTCAGTTAAGGTACCTATAATGACCTTTATTTACGTGCGATACAAGTACATGTTTGGGTTACATACGTGGCTGTATTTTCATTATAAAAAATAAATTAGTTTTGTTCCTTAGTCTTCTTCTCGAGGCTTAAAATTGTGGTCCCTATTGTAAAATTTCTTTTAAAAAAATTAGCCTACTCAATTTTTCACAATGGACGGTTATACAAAACTTAATACAGTCGTTATCGTTTACATATTTTTAAAAAGGAACTTGTTTTAATTTATAAAATAAAACATTCGATAGGTGATAAAATACTAATTTCTGTGACAGTAGGAAGACAGATGTGTGAAAATTATTTTAAAGCTGCTTTTTCACAGATGTTGCCCCACTGGAACAAGAGCGAAACCTGCATTAGACGAGGGGCTGTCCACTTCTCCAGGGGTGGGCGTCCAGTAATAATGCTTTTTGAGGCCATTGGAGACCTCTGCAAGATGCACGTGTCCGTCCACCACAAAGGGCTCCACATCTGTGTTGTCTGGCTTTAGATGACCTCCTTGAATTAAGTCTGAATATGCCTGGAATTTTGAAGAAAAGAAAAACTATCATTAAGGAAATTACTTATTCAGTTTACAGTGCTTACACAAATATACATACTCAAATTAGTTGTGCTAATTTGTAGTTTGAAGTAACATATTCTGAATAGCATTGTTAAAATTATAATATTCCAAGACATCTAAGGAATTTTTTTTGTTGGTTTTTTGTTTTGCGTTGGAGTCTCACTCCGTCGCCCAGGCTGGAGTGCAGTGTCATGCTCAAAGCCACTCCAGCATCGACCTGCTGGGCTCGGGAGATCCTTCTGCCTCAGCCTTCCAAGTATCCAAAACTACAGGTGTGCGCTACCATGCCCAGCTACTTTTTTATTTATTGTAGAGACGAGTTCTCGCCAAGTTGCCCGAGCTGGTCTCGAACCTGCGGGCTCAGGCAATCCACTCATCTCAGCCTCCCAGAGTGCTGGGGATAACAGGCTACCACCAAGCCTGGCCCCAAAACATCCAAGTTTTAATGTATTAGACATGTTTTGTCATTTTGTGACTCCTAGAGTTAATTCCCTATACTACTAATTTTGTGGACCAAAAGTTCCATGGTCACAATTTTCAAATCCTACAGATAGTCTTCAACGGGGGGTAGATGGTGAGTATGAGTGCTGTCGTATACAATTTCAAAAATCTGATGCTGGCTAGGTACCTATTCCTTAGGAAACTAAAGGGAATCCCAGATTTGGATGTACAATGACATGGAGTTCGCAATCGCCTGAAACTGATCTGCAGACTTAGGCCAAGAGGGACAATTCCATATTAGTTGCTGGCCTATTAGTCATTTCTTCACTGGAGAACTTTCTTTGTGCATCTCCGATGGATCCTTGGTATCTGTGGAAGGGTGTCACACAAATATGGTGACCTGCTGAGTCCATAGGGTGGCCATAATAGAGCAGAGGTGGAAATCTAGGCACTGAAAGGTGAAAAAATCTAGTTTGCTTTTTGCTTTAGTTTATCATTCATTGTTAGTTCCAAACTCAGCTTATTCAGCTTCCAGTGTGTAGAACTACTGAAGGATAGGGATGTTTTCCTAAAAGGCAGGGCATTTTTCTCTAGACAATGGTGTGCTTTTTATTATTCTTTTTAGTGGTAGAATTTGGGTTAGTCGTATTGCAAATTTTGAGAATTAACATCTACTTTTTTCTCTCATTCTTTCCAAATGAAAACTATTGGTTACTATGCTTTTTGTTTTGAACGTGATATCAAGTGCTCTCTGTATTTCTAAGTGCAACATACCAAATACTTTGACAGCTTTTACTATATCTCTCCAGTTCCATATTCTGGTATAATTACTAGGAAGCAGACTAGAAATTTTGTTATGTCAAATCAACAATTGTGATTTTTTTTTTTTAACTTTGGAGGAACTGGAACTGTGCGATTCAGTGATGTTTAACACTCATATGTGGTATTCGGTATCTTTTGTGATTTCAATCACAAAACTTTCTAGTAGCTGATTTTTAGGACCTACGTTAAAAATGAGCAAAACTGTAGTGTTTCACTGTACTTTGTAATCATTTCTAAGGCAGCTGTAAAGAAGATCCCAGAAAAGTTCCTCAGGGAAAGAAGAAACTTACTACACACGTAGCCTCATCAAATTTGTTTCCCCAAATGTAGAGATTAGAGAATACGGGGTTTGCTTTCATTGTCCGTGAAAGTGCGACCAGTCCTTCTCCCTCTATGTTGTTGCTGACCACTGACAACCTGGATCCAAGAGTTCACAAAGAAAGAAGGCACAAGTTAGCAACAGCACTTACACAAGCATTTAGTCTTCAGTATGTTTTAATTTAGTGGTCAAAATACCGGCCGTATAATTCCTAAAATCCAAGACACATAGTTTCCTGATTGGATGCTTCATGTACCTAGTAGAGCTACCTACATTCTGAAAATACTCTTTTGGATTATTCGTAAAAGTGCGGATGGATTCCAGACACATTTTTCTGGACAAAGTCACCCAAGTGGTATTTTCTTCTTTAGTTCATTATTTTTTAAAGTCCTCATCACAGTGAATGCTTCTGGTTTTTCTGTTAGAACTGAGGATAAGTAATACAAGCAATACAAATTTTCTCGTCAATTTTAAGAAGGAATCATTACCAGAGTCACAGTCTAGTTTGCAAAAGACATTATTTTTAAAAAACAGAAATTGAAATGTCTAGTGAAACTTCATCCTATGTCAGTTTAGAAGCTGAGTTTAAATATGTCATCATAGTCTAAAGAGTTAAGGGGCTTGAGGTTAGTACTTACAAGTTTTAAGGTTTTCTGTCATTTTGTGTCAATACAAAACCATACTAACATTTTAAGACTCCTGTTGTGTGAAGTAAGGGTTTCGCAGAGATAGTTTGCACCTGCATTTTCTATTCTGTTAAAAGAAAGATCTATGATTTCCAGGGTAGTGTTGCTTTTCAGTACATCAGCCAGATACACCATTCCATCATGAGTTATTTTATTGCTGGGAAAGGAAAAATATTTAGTTATATTTGAAATATGAAATATTATTCTTCATAGCGATAAAGTACTTGGAAGCTATTAAAGATAAACAGCGCTTTCCGTTTTAGTAAAGGTTTAGTCACTCAATTTCCAAGAAACTTGATAAAAATTCACCACAAAATACTGCTTCCATTCTGGCTTACACAATGAAGTTGCTCGTTCAAGTTATTGAGAGATAGCAGTATAAACTAAATAAATATTTAGGCTTAGGGTCAAAGGTTGATAATTGGTTGTGTTTTCTAATAACTGGAAATAGTGCCTGGCAAGGCATCCCATGTGCTGTGACTATTTTTTTTTGATCGGAGTCTCACTCTGTCACCCAGACTGGAGGGCAGTGGTCGCTCCCGGCCACCGCAGCCTCGACCTGCTGGGC